ACACGGGGGCACAAAACGAAAGAAACAGAAGTTGCCACTGGGAAGTAAATTCCATGTTATTAGTTACCAGCCAACAGGGAGGTGGAATGTTCAAACAACATTCAATCAGAAATCGGCAAGAACAAGGCGGAGTAGATACCGCCGATACGAGACGAGCTGCTTACAGATCGAGATAATAAATTTACTGGCAAACACACACTCTGGACCGGCAATTTATAAGGTTCGGTTTGCCCTCAAAAAAATAAGTAGTTACTTCTGCTTACTTATTTCAGTTTTTAGCCACACAAACGCACACACTGCCTTTTCTATTGGCCAAAAGCGCCTAGTAGCAGGCTATGCTTTTTGTTTGGCACTCCTGGGAGAAGCTGTAAATATGAAAGCAGAAAGCAAGAAACTTTATTTGGGTTAGCGATTGTTTAAAAATGCATAAGGATGTGAAACTTGGAGTAGCTTAAAAGGGAACACAAGCCCGCAGGAGTTTGGCCAGAGGAGCTACAAAGGCCCCAAGGCGAAAAAGGGGGCGGGATTTGCAGGGGCTCAAACTGCAAATGGAGCTAAAATTGCAATGCAGAGAAAGAAACTTGAATTATAAATGGAAAAATATGTCAATTAAATGTGTTTTTTTTATAGAATTTTAAGAGTTTATACATCAGCTAACTCCATGGTATAGCTAAGCTTAAATCTTATTACTAAATCATGAAATATTAGTAACAGATTTTTCACAGTGCATAAACTATGAATCAAAACAGATTCTGCAGGCAAATGCAAAAGCCAGAATGTCTTTGCTGCGAAATGGAAAAATTCCAAGAAGCTAGCTTGAAAAGCTCATGGAAAACCCTCTAGAAAAGAATCTGACACACTTGCAATTTCCATTGAGTTTATCTCAACAGGTGTAGGGATTTAGGTACATCAACTCCATTCTCCATCAATAAACTTCCACTGATTTGAGTTTAATATGCAAATCAAGCAGCGACGACGGATGGCTTTGGGTTTATTTAAATCAAGTGAACCGAGCTCAGCCACCCACTCAGTCGACATTCACTGGCAAAAGTTTTTAAATTAAAAAATTATGGATGGCCAAGTTAATGGCTTTCTCGAAGAGAGAGAGAGAAAGACAGACGACAGGTGGGTGCAGTTTTTGCAATCAAGATGAGTGGGCGAAAGTGGTTCAAGTGGTCTTGTGATTGCGAATGTAAATGCAATTTCATTAAATTGAATATTTATCGGTTGTCATTCAGCAAATTGCAGGTAAATTGAGGTTTATACTAATATTTCCACCAAGCAATGATGATAATCTAAGCTACATAATGGATACAAATCATCATTAGTTGAGCTTAAGGTTTTAGAAGCATTGGATTCTTCAACTTTCTGACAAATTATCAACTATTTTTAAGACTTCCAAAGCCAAACTTAGTGTTAGCTAAACAAAAAAGAACCGCTTGAACAGGTTTCCAAGGAAATTTGCGGCACAGAAGCCGCACAGTTTGATGAGCATAAATCTTGATATCGGAACATTATTAACGTCAATTAATTCTAACTGTTTGAAACGAAGGCCATCCATTAAGTGGCGGGAGATTCTGAAGTGGATTTTCAGAGGATGGGAGGGTGGAGAAAACTCACCTGGGATGGATGGATGGATGGATGGCTGGCATTTCTCCAGAGACCCTCAACCTGTTTTTTTTCGCTCGCCTTTCTGTAATCGATACAAGTGGCTCTGCTGCGGCAGCGACAGCGGCGGTCTGTTGTATTTGTATTTTTAGTATTTTCCTGGTGGCCTGCTGTTTTCCCTCTTTTTCCACGTTGTCGTCTTGCCTCACGATTTCCCAAATCCGATTATTATCAAGTCTCACGTGAGTGCACGCTTTGTTGTGTGGCTTTTCTTTTTATTTTCAACCTTTTCGAGTATTTGTGCTTTTTACAGTTGCTGCTCTCTGTTCTTCTGGTCTTCCTTGGAAAATTGCTTTGAACTTGAAAATTTCCCACGTGACGCGGCGAGAATCAATCTCTGCTTCTGGCTTTTTCCTTTGCCCTCTGTTCGTGTCACATGTGCCATGGCATGCCTGCGCTCCCCTTTGCGAATTTGTCCTCCCTTCTCTCTGCATGAGTTTTCCACGCCACGAAAAGCAGCTGCACTTTGCATGTCATTCGGTTAACGGTGTCGTCTTTTTTTCCTCCTTTTTTTCTTCTGCTTTTTTTTTCTATTTGATTTTCTTGGCTTATGGATTTGCCGCCTTGTTGTGGCTGCTTCAGTCCGTTGTGGCAAGTGTCGATTGAATTTAATTGGATAGTTTTTCCGTGCATTCCATATCTTTCCAAGGGGCTAAAAGGCAAATTTTGAATGGCCATATTCGTGGGTAATTTCTTTTATTGATTTGTAATTTTTGTGGGAATTTCTTTGGGTTTAAAATGGAAGTTAAAATTGGTTATTTATCTTTCCAAAAATTCAAACCAATTATAGGTTTCCGTGGATAAAATCAGCTTACACTAATTGGAGTACAAAGTTGGCTTAAAAACCCAGTCTGGCCACAATGGGAATAGTTCTTTCTTGGCTGAATAAAACTTAAGAATTATGCAGCCGCATTCCGGAATTTCCATTAGCACTCGCAACCGTAGCTTCTGTGTCGTTCGGCCACTTTTCGTACAACGAGTTCGTGCCATTTGGCAGATATCTTGGCTAGTCTTTAAGCCAATCCATTGCAGAGTTTAGTGTGAGTCAGTTAAAGTTGAAAAAACCCAAACAAAGTGATTTTCCCAAGAAGAGGCAGCTACAGTGAGCTACAATATGAGCTGCAGATGGCACTTACTGTGCTAGCACGTTCCAATCACAAGGGAAGTGCATAGTTCGCGAGTCGTAAACTTAGGTTTTTAACGATTCTGTTTGGTAAAGAAAACGAGACTTGGCCACGACACCGACCAGTGGCAATTAAAAAGAAGTTAGCACTCGGAAGGGGGAGGGGAAAGGGCGACAGTTCATAGATGTCAAGTTCAAGGGCTCGGGAATTACCTGTCAGGGTCCCAGAGACAAAGTGAGTAATTAATTTGCAAGCCTCTTGTCTTAATCCATCAAATCATCTGCCTTCCCTTTGAGATGGTTCATGGGAGTTGCCCTGCCCTGCCCCTTGCGAGCTCTATGAGAATTTCCTACTTTTGATTTAATGAGTTTTTTATGGCCTGCTCTTGGAATTGCTTATACTCGTAGGATTGAATTCTTTATGCAAACAGTTCAATGAGCTCTCGGTTAATTAATAGCTCATTAAAGCTCCGATTTGATAAGGGATCTTTGGATTCCGTCTTTTGTTTTGCTTTTCGTTGATGTGTGGTTAATTACGTCCTAGATTAACCGTTTTATTCTGAGTAATTCCATGGGTTAACTGCAGTTTTCAATTAGTGATTGTAAATGTCATTTAGTAGCCTGCTTGTCTTACGGCCTTTAGTACCTTACCATGTTAGGAAGCCTAGTAGATTCCCCCTACTAAAAACCATTTATAAGGCTCTGCATCATCCTCATCATAAGCCTACTCTGCTGTCATATGGTTTTTGATGATGTTTATGATGATGATGAAATCTAAGCCGCTTAAAATTTATGAAAAACCCCAAAATGCAAAAGGCTGCGTCTCCCATGTGGCTGCGTAATCAAATGCATGTAATTTGAGTTTAATGAGTGTCAAAGTTATTAAAAATCATTTGCTCCGACCAGTTATGGTGGCTTTTTTTCTGCCAACGGCTTTGGCTTTCGGCCAAGTCAGCAGGCCAAGTTTTCGGTCCATGAAAGGCAGCAGCAGCAGCAGCCGTACAAAAGTTACAAAATCGTTTCGAGACATTTTTGGGTTCGTCATCGGGCTTAATTACTGGCCAAAAAGCGTATTCTCCCGCCAACGATTCTGGTTAAATGAAATGTGTCAATAAATTCAAATGGCGTTTGGCATTCGGGCCGAAACCAAATGGAGTTATTAGAGAGTGTTCGCTAAACCGAAGTGAGATCTTTTAATAAAGTTGTTTTTCGGTGTCAGAGACAGTGGAATAACAAACAATGATTACAGGCGACAGTGTCTGGCATAAGTTGTGCGACAAGTTTGTGCCAATATCAATACAACGGAAAAGCACACTTGAAAATTCTTGGAAAGCCGATTGTTTATATAACTTAACTTGTTTATTTAAAGACTGGCTGGTCTGAAATTAGGGGAATTTGTTATGGCTAACAAAGTATGAAATTGTAGATTTTGCTGTCTTGATTAATACGTTCAGACCCAGTGACTGCCAAACTGAGTAATAAATTTTGTGATTCGAAATTGATCTGGAAGTGTAGGCCAAGTGACTTTTGGTTAATTTTGCCCACTAGCCAGGCATATGTATACTGTGAAGCTTCGCTTGGTCTGGGCTGAAAATTGGCAAATGCATTTCTTATGCTCTGTGGTGTGGGTGTGCAACGCCCACTTTCCCTGCCATTCGCCTGTCATACCCCGCTAGCCGCCCAATCACTCTGATATTGATTTGATTGTGTGTACGTCTGCTGGCTGCTTTTGGCTGCTCACATGGCGTATGATTGATGGCCCTGCGGGCAAGCCAAGGAGCAAAAGAAGCATAGAAGAAGAAGAGGACGAAGAAGGAGTCTCAGCCAGATGTAAAATATGGAAGTATCGCTGCCTGAGCTGTGGCTGCTGCTGCTGTTGGCTGTTGGCTGGAGATATAAATTGCATTTATTGGGAAAATTGACAGAAAAAATATTTGCACGTTAAATAGAAATTAATCAAGAAAAGTAAGGAAAAGGCAAGTGAGGGAAAATAAGCGACATGGAGATGGTCTGTAGAAAGAGGGAGGACAAGAAAATAAACAAAAATTAACTAAGTTTTAAAATATATTTTAGATAAACCGACCTTTGAGCTATTAAAGAACAAACATGAGTTGATGATAATCATTGAAGATTTATTTTCTATTGAGGAAATAGTATTTTTTTCTTAGTAATAGAATACTAATATATACTTCCTTTCAATAACCTGTTTATCTTAATTATTTCATTACAGCCGCCACATGTCTGGCCCTACAGTTTGAGCAGCACTGGGTTCTAAGCACCTCGCGTGTGAGCAGAGTGAGAGGTAAGTGTTGACTCGTGTTACTCACAGCTAAATGCGAAACCCATAATTTTTTCCCATTAAACGTATATATCTTATATCTAAGAGTTACTATATGTCGTTACTATATATATTTTTTTTATGGTCGTGTTTCCATGTGTCCATCTGTAGACTTGTCGCTTGTCATTTGTTGTTTTGGTTTTAAGATTTTTGCACTGCATTCGAGTAAACCGGTTGAATCGGTTTCGTTCGTTTACCGATCATTTGCATAAAGTTTTGTTCTGTTTTTCTCTCTTTAATCGGTTGGATTTGTGTGTGTGTGTGTTTGATTTTTAATTTATTTTCATTGATTGCACATATACAACTTTTGACTTAATGGCTCGCTGACGTAACTCGAGCTGCTGAAATTAGCAAAATAGTCGTAATACTTACCAAATGGTTTTCTTCGCCTGTACGCAGGATTTTCATTTGGTTTTTGCCCAGCAAATTGTGAAATGATACAATGTAATTAATCGATCTGTAAGTTAAGTTGATTTGCTTTTGGATTTACAATTTGTTAGAGAAATACGCTGCTGGGCGTTAAAAGTAAGTTTGGTTAGTAGTGGTAGTGGTTAGTAGAGGGAAATGAACACCTGCTAAATAGGCGTTAACATGTTTTTCAATTATTTTTAATGCTTTTTGATGTTTAAGTTTGATTTTTAGGCTCATTGAGTGGCTTTCTTAAACGAAAAATCAACTCTTGATTGGCTTTGTCTCTTCATTTTCCCTTAACTTTTACCAAAAACCAATTCCTAACTATAATCAAAAACCAAATCAAATAAATGCCAAAATGTCAATGCTTTACTTTTCATTCATTCGACTTTCGTTGCTCTTCTACTTCTACTTCAGTTCGATTCCCTTGAGATTTATCTGATTCTGATTCCGATTCTGTGGCAACTTCTGTTTCTGTCTTTTCTGGCTTCGAACAGGAAGTCCATGGTTGGCCACCTAGGTAAGTGGGTTCTGTGGTTTTTGGGTGGTTCGGTTTCAGATGATTCGAAGGTAATTTGTTGCCGGTCCGTGGGCCTAGACAAAAGGACTGATTGGCCGGACTTGACTGACAGTTTGGCGGGAGGGCGGTGTACCAGCAAAGGGTTAAGGCGGTGGTTATATATGGTATACACTCACACTCGAGTCCAAGCTAATTCTATCATTGTATTAGCCAATTGTGGTGGCCTCTCTTCCTCATTCGTTTCTTCTTTCTCCTTGCCATTTTTATTTCAGTTTCAGTTTGTTTGGCCAGCATAATGATGCCACTTGATTGAAAATGAACGTGACTGGAAAACAAGTTTCGGGGTTAAAGTTTTTCTTGTTTTGCTTTTTACGTTACTCCTCTGCGGTCTGCAGTCTTCTCTTCTCCACAGATTCTACAGTTCGAATAAACAGAAAATAGCAAAATAAATTAGCCAGGAGATGCTCTCAGCCATGAACTTCTGTGACATGTTTTGCTGCCTCAGACTTATTTACCGACCGACGGAGCCAGGCGAAATTGCATTTAGTATTATTTAATTAAAGTTTTCACTAGCTCTCTCTCTCCTTCTCTCTGTTTGGTGGACCACCACCACAAGGAGGATGTCTTCTGCTGCTGGGCGCCATTTTGTTGCATTTTCCTAACAGAATTATGTGCGCATTTCCGTTTCCGGTACACGCAACAATGCACCCAGAGCCGTCAGCGTGGAAAATGGCGTCTTCGATTTAGCAAACTCGAAACAGTGGGGGTTTTGTTTAATATTTTAAGAAATCTCTGAAAATAAATGATAAGTTGTTAGGGAAAAGCCTAGAAAATAAAGTTGAGCCTTTCAAAAGTTTGTAATTAAGTTATTATTTCCATAAATGCCCGATAAATCTTTCCTTTTTCCTTTACAACTTCATTTTCCCAAGACACAATTTGTTTTCTAACAAAATAAAATCAAAGATTCCTTTCTCCAAATCGAAAACCTAATCGATTTTCCTTTTAAATCCCATTTATTCCACTGTCCACGCAGCGTTAGTTGGCTGGTGGAAGAATAATAGTTTGCCATTATTAAGTTTGGTTGCGGGTGGATTTTACATTCGTTTTGTGGATGCCGCCGTCGTTGTTGCTTCTGATTTTGCAGCAGTTTGTTGGTTGCTGGTTGCTGGTTGCCGTTGCCAACACAAATTATTTGCAGCATGCACAACAGAGAGTGTGCCACAATAAGTGGCTATGGAAGGACCTCTTCGCAGCACCCCTTCTCTCTCTCTACATCTTTAAGCCATCAGAAATCCCCCACAAGATTGAGCGGCAAGCCATTGCAATGACAAAAGTAATTTGCCTTTAAAGCGGCACCAACTGCAGCATCGGACGAAGGCAATTTAAATATGCATGGGCCATTATGCATAAGCGATGCTGTTTCTCCATTCTCGGAAATGTTTTTGCACTTTGGGAAAAGTGTGATACCAAAAGTAGCTCTAAAAGATGAGGTTTTTGAAAGAGATTATCTTAATTAGATGGTAAAAGTAATATTTAGTGTGGCCAAGTTGTCTATAATGTAAGCAGTGTGGCCATCAGACAGTTATAAGAGACAGTGTGACCTTTTTCACACATTTTTCTCCTGTGTACTTCTACTTATTAGTGTGTGGCACATGCAACTTTAGTCGCATTTAGTTGCGCATTCGAGCAAACCCAATGGGGCTCTCCACTGACCCACTAAAGTCACCCATTCGCCCGTTCGGTTCACGGACTCCAGGGACCTGATGCTGTAACTAATTTCGAGCAAAGTCCATTCGATGTGGCATATTTAAAACTTAATTTACATGGCTGTGGTACCTGCCCTCTCTGGCCGCTTAAACCCTAACCTTTAGCCTCTCTCTCTCTCTCTCTCTTCTTGCTGACCCCTACTCTTTATGGCCTAAAGTCTCCTCCAGCCTGGCAGCTGTTTCGAAGCTGAGTACTCCTATACTTTGTCATTTTCAGTTTGTCACACTTTTGCCAAATAAAATTTCATCGCTTGTCATAAAGCCTTGAGAGGCAAGTGTCACAAGCACTTAACTCAAGGAGGTGCATGGGTTGAAGGGGGCGGCTATGGCCGAAAGTGGAAGCGAGACAGCAATGCAGTGAGGTAAGAAGTGAAGGAGACAGCACTCAAAGCTGTTCAAGTGAGCCAAAACCCGAAAAGAAATGTGCCAAATAATATTCAAGTCATATGCTGAAAAGTTAAGATAATATTAGAAGGAGATTTTAAGGTTGAAGGAAATTTAGTTTAAAGTTGAGATTTTGGTTTGATTTCTCTCCAAAATATCTTCTTGCCTTCAATCACTTATCTGGAAAACTATAAAACTTTAAAACTTCTCAACTCTAAAGCTCTTTAGGTGTACCCCCATAAAACTCTGCTAAATATAGAGCTGTATGTTCTTTCCAAGACGGCTTTTTTCTTTTCATCTTTCAGCTATAAAACATCTACCTGCAACACCTTGTCTATTTTCTATTTATATACTCTTATCCCTTATCTTCTTATATCACCTGAAGCAGAACCAATTAGTGTTTACCCCAACCCATAAATATGTTTGCCGCTGTCAACGAATGATTCCCTCATAAAAAATGAAACCATAAAATTACTTTTTTGCCTTCCCATTGATAACATGCAGCTTATGCAATGAATGTTTCCTCCGAGAGTTTGGCGAAAAAGTTTGGCATTAGCTGGCATATCCAAACCAAATAACTGTCAGGGCTAAGACAATAGAAAGGACAGCCAACAGACAGGCCAGACATCGGCATATATACCATATAGCTTAGATATATAGAGAGAGTAAGAGGGTGGGTAATGGCAATCGAAAGAGGGGAGCACCAAAAGTTGCCAGTTTGACAGCCGCAAGACAGCTGTCTGTTTGGAGGGAAAAAAACTCACATTTCCGAGGGGTAGCATAAAAAAACAGAAGCGAAAACATAATTTTTGATTTACTTGCCTGACAGCTGGACACCGAATTTCACACGCACCCCCCCACACACACAGCCATCAAAGGTCGGGCACAATTTTTCTATTAGTACAAGTGAAAAATCGCTGCAAAATCGGTGAATTTAGGTTGGGGAGCAGGCCATTTACTGACCGACCACTAAATCAGTACTGACCAGTAGAACATATATTTCATGTCAGAGAGAGTATCTCAAAGGCCCATTATGGGGCCTAAAGTATGGACCCAGTAACTTTTCCAATTAAAACCAAAATAAACTTTTGCCTCCGGAACTCGCTGGCTGAAAATTTCCATTACAATCATGACTAAGCTATGCTGTGGATAGCCAATAAAAAGCCCATCGAATGATATTACCTGGCTGGCGTGTCTTCTAAATTAAGTTCAATCACTTTTGGCTGCGACCACGTGGCGTATGCTTAATTATCGCAAATCGTTTACCAATTAGAGTGCCATGGCAAAGTCACAAAATCTTAACAAACGCCACTTTCGGCTTATCATTCAGTTTTGTTTATCATTTTTTTTTTTTTTTTTTATCACTATTAATTCCAATGCCTTGGCCACCACCTTCGCTTATCACACACACAGAAGTCTGGCGACGACACTCGACTTAGGTTTTTGGCTTTTCAAGTTTTCGTTGTGGCGTCTTTTGTTGATAATTTCACTTGACTAGCTGCTTGGAATGAATTTGTGGGTTTGATTGACAGCCGAGTCAAGGTAAACGAGGCTTTTGTCTCCGCAAACTCACTTGTTTAAACGAAGTTTTCATTTCTCGTATTTACTTTTATTGATATGCCTATTTGCGCTCTTAATTTATGTATTTCGGTGGAGTTTTTTGACCGTGACATATTTTTGTGTTTATTTTCCAGCGTGGCGTTAAAGAACGAGGGCAGTGAACCACGGAAAAATGGGGGCACATATGCAGGTTATTTTTACTTTTTAAGGGAAAGTTCTTTTAAAGTTAAACAGAAATTGTGATTAAAAGTTGTTTAAAAATAAATAAAACTTTTTTGTAAAGAAAAAATGAATTAAATTCTAGACAAAAATTAAGACTAAGACCAATTTTTAATAAGCAACTAACTTAAATTATGATTTTAGGAAGAAAAAGCATTTTCCTTTTCTCAAAAAACTTGCATTTACACCTCTAGATGAAAACCCTTTCATCTTTATTTCAGAAGCACCCACAGCAGTTTTATCCTCAATTAGGATTTATCTTTTCCCGCAAGCATTTTCCATTTTACACTAGTTTTCCTAACATTTTCCCGCCCCTTTACCCCCAATGCCAACACTAACTAGTTGAATGCAATCAACACGCTCGCAATTAAATGCGACAAAGTGCAGACTTGCAGATGTGGTTGGTGGGCAACTTAACCCGTTCCGCCCACAGTTCCCCACTTGCCCCCCAACAAACGCCGCCCCATTTTGCAGCGACAACTGTCAGCGGGTCTGTGGCACACATTTACATGCTGTACTGTACTTCCCCTATTGGGCGCCGCCGCCTCCGCCTCCTAAGTTAGCGTGTGAATTTAATTTGTGCATAATTGCAGTTGCAGTTGCAATAGCATTGCTGCAGCCATAAAATGTCAATATCAAATTGTAATCAACAAGGAGACATTTTCCTAGTGTTTTCTTTTCACTTTGAAAATTTTGTTGGTTTTATTAACCGTTGATAGGTCGGTCGGCCATTTCCCAGACATTTAGACATGAAAAGAGGGGGGTATGGAAAAGTGGAGCCAATTGACTGGCTGTCTGATACGAAGTGCGTAGGAAAATTAAGCAGTCGACGATTTACTAAAGTTAAGCAACTTTAAAATTAAGTTTTCAATGCAAAGTGCTGGGGAAACTAGTTTTTTTTTTTAAGACTTTTTAATGGCTTGCATTTTGCAAATGTGAAAATTCTCATGGAAATGAAAGTGGAGTGAAAATTTATGAGTTAATTGGAAAAAGCATTATCAATGCAGTAAAACTTGTATTTAAAGCCGCAAAAGGAAGCATCTTTTAGTGGCAATTAAAAATATTTTATATTTATTTTGCCAATTTTGATTGAGAATTTATGGCACGAATGATAAAAGGAAAATATTAATTTCATAATTTTTTCATATTTTCAATGAACTGTTAAGTACGAGAGCAACGAGAGTGGTCTGTAAAAAAGCTTTTTGATTTATTTAAATAATTATTCATAATTTTTATTTCCAGAACCATCATGCAACAGACTCAACGAAGGCCTCTCAGCGACATGTCCCAGGCAAACGGATTCCAACAGCAGAAGGCCCAAGCCAGCCGACCAATCAAATAGATTGCCCATAAAAAATTAAATAAATTTTAACAGAACCATCAACTAAACACGAAACAAAAGCCGAAAAGAAGACACTCTTTGAAGTGCGAAAAAAAGGAGGAAAGAAAAAAAAGTTAAAAGAACTTTTCCCCCAAAAGGCTGTTTTGGGAGAGAAGGTTCTGTCCGAGTGAGATAGAAAAGCCGCCAAAATTACGACGTACCACCCACCCACACCTAAAGTCAAACAGAACCCGGCCAATACGGACACCATGTCCGGGCCGGGGGCGTTTGACGATGAGCCGCCGCCGGAGCCCCGAGACGGCTGGCTACTGGTGCGCATCCATGTACCAGAGCTGAATGTCTACAAATGCCTGCAGTTCCCATCGGAGCGGCTCGTCTGGGATGTCAAACAGCAGGTGCTCGCCTCGCTGCCAAAGGTAAGTCGGTCACTGTCATTACCATTCCGGATAGTCATTAACTTCAAGTGTATATATATAGTATATAGAGCAGTGCATGTTGGAGTCTGATGTCTGTGCTAGAAAATCACTAAACGGGGGAGAAGAACCATTAGTCAGTTTTTAATTGGAAAGAAATGTCTTTTTCTTGAAAACATTCTGACATTTAGAATTTTGATTTTAATTTGCCTTATCATATCTCTCTTGACATTGTAAATACTACGTTGTACAGCCAAAGAGTCATTCATAGCACATTCAGAATCACAGATCTTACACATAGCCCTCTTCCAGCTCCTCCTCGTAGGCAAAGAGCAGTTCTATGTAGTAGGACCAGACCACAAACCAAGCGTAGACCAGGACAACTATGGGAAAATATGAAGGGAGATTAATTATCATACCTCTAGATATCCATATAAAGATATATCTGATAAAATACCCACACATTGTGATGGCTGTCAGGATAATAATCACTGTATTAAAGGTATAAACAGTCAGGGCTAAGATATGAACTAAGATCCAAATGGGCACGAAACCCAGAAAGGGCAGAAAGAGCATCTCGTTGTTCTGAGGGATAAGAGAGGGAAGAGATATTATAAAAGATAGGTAAACCCTTTTCTAAGAACTACTCACAAGGTGCACTCCAATGCACAGCATGGCTGATGCTATGATACCAAAGAAACTAAAAACCATGGTGGCCTTCAGAGCCGCTGGGGCTGGGATCAAAGACCTCTGATACTCATCCGGAAAGATGCACTCCATCATAAAGCCAGTGCCTATGGTGATGTACAAGAACCAGGTCAGGAAGATGCAGCCAAAGAGCAGGACACCAAAGCGCAGTGAATAGCACCAGCAGCATGTGGTCATAATCTGTTTAAGGTATCTGCAGCGACAGGCCATGGTGATAAACGATCCTGAACTGCTTTGCCAATTTCAAAGGAATAATTTGTATATTTTCTTGGATAAAAATTAAAACTTTCTAACTATTAGATTACTTGTTAGTTTATAGGAAGATCAATAGAACAATGTTGCCTAGATGGGAATATGAATTTGATATTTACCTTCCCAACCACATTGCCCGATTCGATCAAATTGAGTCATCAGCGTCATCCACACTTTTGAGAAATTTGTAATACGAATGAACTATCATCAGGGAGTATATAAGACCGACTAAAGAGATGAAAGTCAGAATAAAGATAGACTCAAACATACTATAGGAACACCCACCTATGATGACCATCTGAACGGACAGAATAATCGGTACAGGGGTGTACTTGGCCAGCTGAATGATGGCCAATAGGATGTACAAGAAGAGTATGATAGAGTATATGCATACCCAGAGAAAGACAAAGCCTCGTTTTCGCTAGAGTTTAAATATATTCTTAAGTTTAGTTACAAGAAGTTAGTAAAAATCTCACCGCCTTAGCACCATAGATTAGCAGTATTGAGCTGAGAGTTCCAAAAACCAATGTGGGACAGACCAGGATGGGAGCCCATTTCTTGTTAAGATTGGTGTCCCTGACAAATACCAAGTCATCCGTATGGGATATGAGCTCACCAACATGGAAGATGATGAACAACCCGGCAATGATCATGCAACCAATGTTCAGGGGCAAGATAAAGCAGCACTTCTTGAAAATCATTTTCGCTAAAAGTTAAAACTTAAAATTTAACAAATTTCTACATGAATTTTTAGCCGAGATTATTTCAAAGGCAAAGATCAGTTGATCTTGGAATAAGGATTAAGATATAAAGATATTTATTTCCCTTAAAAAACTAACTGGAACAAGGCAAACTTTTCAATTAAGCCAAACTTTGTTGATTGACCCACAAGAAGAAAAAAGCAATTACCTGGGAATTGCAATGCAATTTTTTTTTTCTTACAGATGTTGTTGATTGAAATTTTTAGCCAGCTAAAGGCTGCCACGTGCCCTTACAACATAAAGAGCGGACCACGCCTCGACTGCTGCTGCTGCTGCCTCGTGAAGTTTCAATTTTTTTGAAGTTCAATGCAATTTTCCGGCAACTGCAGCTGAGTCTGGAGTCGTGCGCCCTCAAGTCTGAAATCGTGACGTTGCAGATCCAAAGATATTTGACAACTGAATGGCAGTCTGTCAGAGGGGAGGGCAACCAAGAAAACAAGAAAAGAAACGAGATAGAAGGAAGGTTAGATTTTCAATGGCTAGAAGATGTGGCAAGTTTGGCTAGGATTGGTAATAAAAGCTAGGGGGAATGTCTAGGGGGTAACTATGAAAGATTTTTCTTTAATTTTACTTATTAATAGAGCTTTAGGATGTTAGTAATAGTTATATTTGCCACTCTATTTATGAGTTATGCAGGGAAAGAGTATCTTCTACCACTTTAAGCTTTCCAAAACAACCCAAAGAAAGAGGCGTACTTCCTTGTTCCTTTCTCCCAATGAACACCAAACAATGGTCAGTCAATTGCGTACATTTATAAACAATTTGTTTGAGCAAATTGCTGTCGTAACATTGTCAAAACCCAAAATCCCAATGCGGGGGCAGCCGCGCCCATTTCAATATTGGCAACCGCAAAATTGCAAACGGAAACTCAGTGCCGAAACCGAAGCCGAAACTGAAACCATACTGAAAATCGCTTTGGAATCGATTCCGAACTGAAACTGAACTGTGCTGTGAACCGAACACAATGACCTCCAGCTAATTGCATGGCCCGGTCTTTGGTGGCCGGTTCCGTTTTCGATTTGGCCAATACAAATTCAACGCGGCAAGTGACAGACATTGCCTTGTTTTGGGGTTTTTGGTTTTCAGGCTGGTGTAGGAGGCGTGGCTGGTCTGGTTGTAGTTGCCAGTTAGGAGTCTAGTAAATTATGTTGTAAGTTCAGGTCGGATGTGGGAACCAAATGCTGAGAGTTCTATGTTAGGTCTATGGCGGGGATATTTGCTGGCTACTTTAGGGTTTTAAATTGGGAATTGGGGGGGTTTGGGAAATCTTTTGACTGTAGCTTTTGTTTTAGACTTAGGTATTCTCAGAGGTTGCCTTGTTTAAGAGCTGTTTTTTGATCTTCCATAGGCAAGTTTGTCCTGAAAAACTTAGATTTTCCTTAACTAACATAAGTTCAAAAGGAATACAGTTTAAACTGGCAAAAAGGCATTACCAGAAGAAGTAAACTAAGTACTTTCCCCAGAAGAATTTTTAATTATTAAACCTTAATATACCCCCTGATTTCCACCCAATTATTCCACCTCTTTAAAACTGAAAAAGCATATCAGGTTATCGAGACACATTTCCTGCTTCCATAGCCATATATCAATCAGCGAACTCAGCCGCATATCTTATCGCAGTTTTTTCACCTGCAAACGGAACATAAAACCCTATAAACACATCCATATATAGTACCGTCATAAAGAATACGATTCATGCTATCATCATGGCACAAATATTTGCAGTCCAATTGAGGTTTCTTTCTTCTCAACGCCTTTTTGCTCAACCTGTTGAAAGAGCCTTTGATAACCGTAGAACAGTTGAGTAAATCCCGAAGACTAAGACAAACGTGAGTGGCAGTAATTTCACATTTTATCGGTCGGCTGGTTATTATCGACTGGGGACACTTGACAACGGAGTCGTCGTTGGGTTCTATAAAAGTTATATTAGATGTCTGCTGAGGAATTCGCTTTCAATGACCGATCTGCTTTATTCATTCCAAACTTCAATTAAACTTCACACCATCCATCAATCAGTCAATCCGTCTGTCAGTCAGCCAGTCAGTCATTCAGTCACTCAGCCAATATGTCGCTGCTCCAATTTGGTGTGTGTTTTCTGTGTGTGGGCCTCGCTGGCATCTCAACTTCCGCCTGCTAATCAAATCGAAATTGAAGCTGTTTTCTGATCTCTACTTGCTGTTTTTTTTTTAGCTGTCTTTTTCCTACGGTTTCTGGGTGGGCGTTACTTACCGGTTTTTGCGTCTAAGTCGTTTTGCTTGTAATACCCCAATGGGCTTTGTTTTGGCCCGAAGTTCAGCATTGGCTCGTGGCGATAAGAAACCAGTAAGGAAAGCTTAGCCGCATATGGATTAATCGGTGGCTCAGTTTTCGATCTAAGGTGGCAATGGAAAATACGTGTAGGGAATAGTTTTAAGGGAATTAAGATAGGAGAAGGAAAGGCTTAAAAAATTCTTTAAAAATTATAGAAACTGCTATGACTTAGCTTATTTAGTTAGTTGACTGTTGCTCTAAGTTAACACAAACTTTGTTGTTAAATTTCATTTACAAAACTTTTCTTTAACTTAAATTTCAACTTAGTTGAGTAAAAAGTGCAAGCACCATAAATCAGTCAAAGACTAGAGCTGAAATCAAAGGGGAAATCTAATCGAATGCTCTTTTCCAACAATTTTCCAACAGGAATAGACAGACAGACAGACAGATAGGATAAGCCAAAGTGCAGGAGGAGAAAAAAAAGTATGAAAAAGAAAACTACTTTCAGTCAAGTGTGTGTTAATGTGGTCAACGGCATCTTGTGTGTATTTGGCTAAGAGAGACATTTCCTTAAAAGCCCTTTATTTACGACCAACGCAACTTTAATCAATTTAGACCATTTCTGGTCAAAATAAACACAATAAATCTTTGACTAAAATTGCCCAGAAACCAACAATGGCAATTAGGTTAAGTTAATGGGCAATGGGCCTCAATTAAGCCAAGTTAAAGTGTAGTTTCAAATTGCAAGCAGAGAGTTGTCTTTCGGAGGGATTTACTGGGAAAAGTTTTGGATTTTACTCTGAAATTGTACATCAAAATGTAGACATTTTGGCATATATATAGTATATATATATATGTAAAACCCCCTTGGAGTTTCTTTGCCCATCCAATCTCTAGACGCTCGTTAGATTTAATGACGCCGCATAGTTTGCGCACGCACGACATCATTTCAGCGACTTTTTGTCCCACTCCTCTCTTTCATACAGCGCTTAAGTGGCATAGAGACCCAGTTGCAGGACCCATCTGTGTCTATATCTAGACGTAGAGGGAGAGGGAGAGGGAGCGGGAGCGGGTGTTCTTCTCTGTGCCCCTCCATTGAACCGTTAATTCGGGTGAGAACTTTACTTGGGCCCCCGCCAACGCATTATTCATTCTGGCTGCCTAGCAAAACGACAGAATGTCACATACTTTTGTGGATAATTTCGCTCCCTGCTTGGAGGGTAGCTCCGCTTTAGTCTTCCTGCCAAAGCTGAATCCATTGTTCTCAGCAATAAAGATGCTGCCGATATAGAGCTTTCTCCGTGCACTCGATTGGATAGTCCATGGCTGAGATTGAATTTTATACTAGAAGCAAAATGGGAAAGGCAAAAGGGAACAATGAAGTGGTAAAGTTTTACAGCCATTTGATGGCACAGGGAACAATGTGTGTGTGTGTTTGAGGCATGTAAAAGGTCATGGCATATATATAGTATATAGAATCCATATAAATATTCCAGTTATCCCCTTTTGCTATATGCAAATGTATCATGCTTTAATTCAGCACAACATTCCAGGGATCATAAAGTGTACAAAAAATCAACTTAAATGAAATGAAATTCATGAAAAAGAGTTTTATGACATTTGGCTTGCTCACGCTGGCTTACATTGCGTATGCGTGATATGTAAAATATATGTAAGCTAAACATGTAAATGTCATATCCATACACATATATATATATATAGTAAGTGTGTATATAGAAATAAAAACGGAAAACATTGTAATGCGGCATGACAGGCAACTATAACATCAACCAACAAGATTCCTCTCGTTATTAATTAAAATGTTTTGTTTTCATTAATTTCGTTGCTGCTCTTGGCGTTTTTTATTTAATTAAATGCCAAACAAATTAAATATTTAAACGTTAAATAAAATAAACAACACACGCTGACATGGAACATGGGCCTGATGACTGCCACGAAAATGTTAAATGGAAATGATGTGGCTTGCAACGCCAACGCTGCGTATACGCAATCTGACCTGCTTGGAATCGAATAAACACGTATAAAATTGCGGATTGTATTTACACGCCTCAATATTTGAATCGCAACTGATCCTGCCTGCCCGTGGGCTATATATACTTTCATCTACTTGGCCATCCATTGCAGGTGGCCTTTTGGTTTAAGGTTGGTGGCTGGCTTTAATACACCCATTCATATATATTCGCATATGGAGAAGATAATACCATGAATAATGCCTTTCCGCAGCACTTAAGGGAATGCTTAATTGCTCGGAAAGGCTGAAATTTCATTACATCAATCATTTCATCTGGGAGTATTGAGTTAAATATGAGTTTAATTTGAGTTCTTTAAGTTTAAGCAAAAAGTTATTTTTATTGGGAAATCATCAGTTAAAGGAAGTTAAGTGCTTGAAAATGGCAAATCCCTTTTAAAAGTACTTAATAAAAATTTTAGAACTATAATCTTTTCAAATTCATCTCTGATTTTCCAACTCAAGATAACTTTTCCTTCAGCTCTAACATCCTATCACATTCCCCTGCCTGGCGGCAATAAATATTTATTAATTTTTAAGTTTAAGTTTAATTTTAATTGACACGAAACCCGCGGCGACACTCGTTTCGTTCGAACACCTACGCAAATATTTGGTTGCAAGTTGCAACACTCGCTGTAGCGCTGTTGCTCTGTGGCAGAGTCGAGGAGACAACAGCGAGGCAACTTCAGTTCCAACTACGAAATGTGTCAAGTACAGCAAACAGTTACAGATTTATGGCTAGGAGTTGGAGGACCCCCGCCCCTTCCCACCTCTAACACGCCACGCCAGGAACTGTGTTTTTTTTAGGATCATGCAAGCCCCCCTTTTGGGGATTTGCCAACACTCCTCCCTTGTAATTCAATTAAAATGCAAAAAAAAGGAGGGATAAAAATATAGGAAAAAAGGCGCTTCAGGCATTTGCAAATGGAGCAAGAAACGAGATAATAGATAGGGACGAGAAGGGGCAGAGCAGAGCTGCAAATGGATATATCCATGACCACTGTGAGTGGTTTCCTTTTTTTTTTTTTTTTTTGGTTTTTACTGTGCCTGCGGACAGTTCTCGATAACATTATCGTGAACCGCCGAGAGACTGAGACCACAAATATTTTCAACAAAATTTCTGACATTTTATCGGCAAGCGGCAGGGCAAACAAATAATTTACACAAAACTTTCAAAGCAACAGAAAATATTTTGGTGAAACTTTTTCTCAACTGTTTTTGTATTTGTTTTGTATTTATTTCTATGTGAATTCGGAAATCTCGTTCATAATAGCCATTTATTATGCTGTTTTTCAGATGGTTGTTAATTTTTTTTTGGGGACATAAAACTCCGACAAAAGCTGGGCTTTGTTTCGTTTTTAATTTTTATTTGTGGGCTAACAATTTAACAGTTCAACCAACTGAAAGAAATATATGAGTGAGTGGCAACAAATCAACTTGTTAAGTCGCCCTTTAAACGACCTTGACTGTGAAATTATTTCAGTTCCAGCGCTTTAATCGCTTCATGTACCAATGAATGAAAGTTGCATAAAGCGGGGTAATTGACTTGAACAATAATAGCGGTAGAAAAAAAAAAACGTTAAAAAATAGATGAGGGAGTGTTACAGTTTGAACAAAAGCTGAAAGTAATTGTAGTGATTTGATTTGAGCAAAAAAATAGTGAACCTGAAATGGCTTTAAAACTGTTAGAGAATAAAAGGCAGCAATAATTGCAAAACGTAAACAGAAATGTTAGTTACAGTTGTTTTCAAACTGTAAACTGTAAAATTCTAAATGCGTCACAAAATTAATATGGGAAAGAGGTTTTTAGATCAGTAAATGCAGGGAAAATAAGTTTAAGTTGAAGTATTAAGAGAAAATCTTAAAAATTATAAGAACTAAAACTGAAAATTAACTGGAGAATAATTTTTACATGAAATAAATTAACATAAATAGAAAGTTTTTCATTTTCATTATTTTTTCAAACAATTTTAATCAAAAATGTAATAAGTTTACTTTTTCTTTCTGTGTGGTACATTGATAAATCCAATACATTAAAATATGACTTTGAGTTGGCGTTTTAATAATGATTACCAGCTAGACTCCATTACAGGTTTCGTTTCGATTACCATAACCTCATGCTAAAACCAATAATTGCCAAGGATTTTAGCCATCTAATAAAGCTTTTAAATCAAGCATAGAATTCTCGCTTAAATACTATTATTTCCACAGTTTTAAACTGCATAAAATCCTCTTAAAACGTTGACAAAATTAAAAGCTTTGCTTTGGAAATAAATAACAAAAATAAATAACAAAATTAAAAATCAAATATAAATGAAATAATCGCTGTGAAAAGCAAACAAACGAGGTGACGACCAACGGCTCTTAGCAGTGCGGAAAGTTGAAAGCATTTTTTAGAGCGCTCAAGTGTGGCGGCAGGCAAATTGAACAACGCAAGTTCAAATTCAAAAATAAAATAAAAAAAGAAAAATAAAAGAACAAAAAAACACTCGCATAAATGTAATTTCCTTCTCATGTGTGTGTGGCATTCGGTTTGAGCTGCCCTCTAACTAAATTTTTAATGGCACTTTTATGTTGCTTAACTTTATTCGGTTCTCTCTCTCTCTCTGTCTGTTTTTTTGCAAATTTAAATTTGATGTTGGTTTTGGGTTGCTTTTCAATTTCCGACGCCCCAACGCCGAACAATGAAGCACTTCCGGTGGCCGTTGGTACTGGTATATGTGTGGCTTTAGATTATGTTCATTAGTTTGCGTCAATTTGTTTTAAAAAGTCGTCGTCGTTCTCTGTGTGAATATAGAATGTTTATGTTTATATGAATTGAGCACTGAAGCGGGTGGTGAACCCCTCTCGAACGGATATTATAATTATGATGATCTGGAAATGTTGAGTGTTGGAAAGCGGGAGGGAAGGAGGAAGGCTAGGCTAGGCTAACTGGCATACCAGCATTATTGTAAAGACCCCAACCCATATTACTAACGATTAGCCATTGATTGAGCAAACTTAACTTATGCTTCGTTTTTTCTTCTCTTTTGCAGGTAAGAAGAAACCCGTATGCCGAGTATCTCAATCTCGCACTTCACCATTTATGGCGTACTTAAATCACAGCTCAATTGGTGCGAATCCAGTCGAGTTGAGTTCGGTTGAGAAGGTGCCTGAGTTCCTTTAGCAGCTCACCAGCTCACCAGCTCATGTCCAAATGCAGACTATGGGTTTAAAGAATAGCTAAAGCCCACACAGAGGAAAACTATTAAGTATTTTGTAGTCGTACTTAAAAGATATAAATAGTTTTTGGAGAAGTGATGCTTAGCCAGAAATATATTGGTTTAAACTTGATATTAATGAGATCTTTCAGGAACTTTTATTAACTGTTATTAAGATACTTTCCTTAGTTCTCCTGACTTATAATCCCTAAATTCTGATTTCCTAAACCCAAAGATTTCCCAACTTGTTCTCAGTGCAATCCATAACTGTGCCAAAGGCACTAAGAGTTCGAGGAATGTGCATGTCTGTGCTTGTGTTTGGGGCCAGGTTGAATGCCCCTCCACCGCTGCCACGCCTCTTTCTCGTTGGCCTCCTCCTTCTCCCATCGCTTAGCTGCAACCACTTGAGCTATTTTAACGTACTGCCAAAGCGACAAAGCCAGGGAAGGGACGAAAGAGGTGGAGGCAGGATAAGGAAGGTCTAAGTAAGGCCTGCGCTCTCCATCTCTCTGGCAAGCGGGCAAATATGCTGGCAATTTAGTGGGCGTGCCATGGCCCTAGTTGCAACTAACGCCACAGAAAAGAACTTTTGACGCCAGCAAAATGCTTGCAGCGAAAATGTAGCAGCCAGTCAAGGGGACAGAGAGAGCCAGAATGAGGAGGATCGCAGAGAATATCTCGAGTTCATTGCTTGTAAAATTGACTTTGGCCAAAAGGAGGCAAGTCGAGGAAGGAGGAGAACACAGCCTGCAAGTCAAACTCAAACAAGCCGCAGATAGTTCGATACAATTTTCCAAACAGTTTGCCTTTTGCCTTCGTTTTGTTTTTTTTTTTTGTATGGCAAGCTGTTCCCTGTAAATGGGAAATGGTTTTAGGGTGTTTTCAATTCGGTATTTAAGACTTAACAAAGACATTTTGGAACTTTGTTTGGCATTCTGAAAAGATTTTTCTTCATCTTTTTACCATTAAGTTAGACATTACTAAAAAGTTCTCTTAAAATTTAGGTTTCTTACAATTTATTTACATTTTTTTGTAATATTTTTTTAAAGGGTACCACCTAGTCTTAACCTTCTAGAACACTTTATCTTCCTATTAGATTTTTCGTGTACAATCTGCCTTTGCTTTTTCCTCTTACCTTTCCTTTTGCTGCCTTCAGTCTGCACCGCTATTTCTGTTTTCTCGCAGTTTTTCCGCCTCATTTGCCATAGACACCAAATGTCCTTCAGCATTGGTTTTCCAGCTTTTCCAGCTAGCCGAAGGCAGTTATCTTTTTGGATACGAAATGCCGCGGCTGGCCAAATTAAAGTAGCAAAAACTAGTTTCCGATATGGTGCACGTGCAGCATCGCCAGTTGCAAGTTCCTAGCTTTGAGTCTGCAACTGGCAAAGTCTCCAATTGCAATTTGGCAGAAAGCACAATGCTGGGTGGTGGGATGGCGAGTGCACAGGGAGGGGAAACAACAAACAAAAACAAAAACCGAAGTAAGCCGAAAAAAAAAGATTTCCCATTTGCTTGCACGTTGGTGGCATAATTCGCGCGCCAGGCGACGCCCCAAAACATACAGAGGGGTTTGACTGCACTGGGGAAAAAAGGTGGGTTGTTTGTTGTTGAATATATAAAAGAGAAGTTTCTTTTTGTGACCTATTTGCTGATATATCTTATATATATCTTTTACTTTGTATAATTCATTGCCTAAAAAGAACGAAAACTTAAACTTATTTTTAACATTTTCAAGCAAAGCTTCCTCCCAATCAAACTTTGCGTTATGAGTCCTAATTTATTAGCTCTGAAAGACAGATTTCTAAGTTTTCTTGTTTCTTTTTAATAGTTTTTATTATTATTATTTTTTTTTTTTTTATACCAAAATAACTTACAGACCCTTTCCTTCTCTGTACCTATGTCTCCATCTCTGAAAGCTACTCCCATCGATTTAC